TCCCCTGGTGGTGTGTTTCCTCCTCCCCAGTCCTCTCAGATACAGGCTTCGTTGTCCGATAGTGTAATTCGTGATGAGTTATTTGATTCGTCTCGATGATTTATTAATTTTCATAAAGAATTTTGAATTCATCGATGATAAAAATCATCAATGTTAGTCTTAAGTCATCGACAAGATTGTTTGATTCACCACTGTGTTTATGCATCAGGGCCAAAAAGTGTATTTTGAATGCATTTCGTTATATCATTATCATATTTTTGTGTATTTGTGTATTTCCATGCGTGTTTGTTTGTGTATCTGTATATGTATGAATTTGTGTATTTGTTTCTGTTTGTGTATATGTTTGTGTGTTGTTATATGTGTGAGTTTGTGTGTGTGTGTGTGTGTACTCGCGCAATCACGAACATAAGCCCGAAAGATGGCGCTGTAGTGTGTCATTAGCGTTTGGTACAGTTTCGAACAGGGTATAAAGGAATTTTTGTTCATAATTGTACTACGTATTCAGTCACATTAATACACACCTACAAACAAGAACCGCCGTAACGCTTCTCATGTATGCCAAAAATTTAACAAACTTTCATTATTGAGGAACACGCGCACACACACACACACGCACACACACACACACACACACACACACACGCAGTCATCATTTATAATACTTTTTTATTGATGGTTCCAATTAAATACTTTTACAGTAATAATAAATTTAGAAATAATATGCTGCTCTTTCATTAATTGTCTCCCTATTTGAATATGTTTTCCCCTGTTGTTTCATGTGGCCTTATGACAGGATTCAGCCATTCACACACCATGTTTTCCTCTTTGTAGCCAATCCCAATGCAGTATTTAGTCTAAGCCCAGAAGTCACTGATTATGCAGGTAACGAATAACCAATCCAGATCTAGAATGACCATGATGTCATTGATTATACAACCAATCACATGCCAGACAGATTCTCTCCACCAGTGAGGCTGCAGCACTGCAGGGTTCAGGTGTGATTAAAGGTTCTCCACAGTTAAATTTTTCTGGGACAATTTTCAATTTCTGTGTCGGCTTGCATTCTTTTGTCTGTGGCTAAGCTTAATGTATTTACAATATCCCTGTTGTTTACTGAAGTATTCCACACATTTTAGAGAACAGTAGCTGTTTAGTGACAATATGAGCGCCGCTGATCTGTCCACAACACCCAACCAGGTACCAGAGCCTCCTCCTGAGACGCTCCTTCAGCAGAGCTGACCAACACCTGTTGTTACTTCAGGAAATAAGCCTTACTGAACACTCGCCTGGTGCCTCAGGGGGAGGATATGACGTAACTCATAATTAATCATGTTTAAATTTAAGATAATTTGTATTTTCTTTTAATTGTGGGGTGTAGTTTGTGGACAAGTCAGTGACGGCATCAATGCAACTCTGTGGCGTGGTGGTGTAGTTGAATTTTGACCTATCGATGTTGTACTCTCTCGTGATGTGAACATGTTCACCAATCTGTATTCCAAGATTTAGAACCCAAACTCATTAAACCACAAGAACTATAACAAGTAAATTACACGAAGTAGATTGGAAAAGAAAGTCTGTGATTTTTAGAGAATTTGTTGTAAAATGTCACAGAAAAATAGAGATCAAGACTCAAGATCTTTTAAAAGGTTAAACTCCTAAGATCTCTTCCTTGTCTCTTATAAGGGTCAGTAAAGCCAACCGAATGTTAACTTACTAAAGTTGTATCACTAAATTCGAATACCTCTGAGAAAATTAAGTGAAATCAAGTTTGGCAAAGCATAGTTGAAGAACCAAATTATATTAAGATTCTCAAGTTAAAAACAACTTTGAGCCAAATTTCAATGACAAAAGGACGACAATGCTCCCGTGTCATGTGGCCCCTGGCAGGTGTGTACTCCGCTGTGTGATGGTGATCTAAGTAGTGTGTCTATGGATCTCATTCTTAATAGGCCCCAGTCCGTGTAGGTCCTATTTCTAGCAGGTCCCAGTCCTAGTAAGTCCCAGTAAAACCCAGTTCTAGTAGACTCCAGTCCTAGTAGATCCAAGTCCGTGTTGGTCCTAGTACTAGTAGGACCCAGTCCTAGGTTCCGTCCTAATAGATCCCAGTCCTAGTCAGTCCCAGTTCTAGTAGGTCGCAGTTCTAGTTGGTCCAAATTCTAGTAGGTCCCAGTTCTAGTTGGTCCCAGTCTTTGTAGGTCCCAGTACTAGTAAGTCCCAGTTCTATTTGGTCACAGCTCTAGTAGGTCCTAGTTCTAGTAGGTCTTAGTTCTAGTAGGCCTCAGTCCTAGTAGGTTTCAGTCCTAGTAGGTCCCAGTTCTAGTAGGTCCCAGTTCGAGTTGGACCTAGTCCTAGAGTCCCAGTCCTAGTAGGTTTCAGTCCTAGTAGGTCCCAGTTCTAGTTGATCCCAGTTCTAGTTGGACCTAGTCCTAGTAAGTCCCAGTCCTAGTAGGTTTCAGTCCTAGTAGGTCCCAGTTCTAGTTGATCCCAGTTCCAGTTGGTCCCTGTTCTAGTTGGTCCCAGTTCTGGTAGGTCGGCTTAGTAGGTCCCAGGCCTAGTTGGTCTTAGTCCTTGTAGGTCCTAGTTCTAGTAGGTCTTATCTCAGTAAGTTTTAGTTGGTCTCAGTCCTAGTAAGTCCCAGTCCTAGTAGGTCCTAGTTCTAGTTTGTTTTAGTATGTCCCAGTCCTAGTAGATCCCAGTTCTAGTTGGTCCTAGTTCTAGTTGGACTCAGTTTTAGTAGGTCCCAGTCCTAGTAGATCCTTGTCCTAGTTGGTCCTAGTCCTTGCAGGTCCTTGTTCTAGTAGGTCCTAGTCTTAGTAAGTCCCAGTCTTAGTAAGTCCCAGTCCTTGCAGGTCCTTGTTCTAGTAGGTCCTAGCCTTAGTAAGTCCCAGTCTTAGTAAGTCCCAATCCTAGTAAGTCCCAGGCCTAGTAGGTCCTAGTTCTAGTAGGTTCCAATCTTAGTAGGTTCTAGTTGGAATCAGTCATCGTAGGTTCCAGTCCTAGTAGGTCCCAGTTCTAGTAGGTTCTAGTACGACCCACTCCTAGAAGGTCCCAGACCTAGTAGGTTCCAGACCTAGTAGGGTCCAGACCTAGTAGGTTCCAGACCTAGTAGTTCCCAGTCTTAGTAGGTCCCAGACCTAGTAGGTTCCAGACCTAGTAGGTTCCAGACCTAGTAGGTTCCAGACCTAGTTCCCAGTCTTAGTAGGTCCCAGACCTAGTAGGTTCCAGACCTAGGTTCCAGACCTAGTAGGTTCCAGACCTAATAGGTTCCAGACCTAATAGGTCCCAGACCTAGTAGGTTCCAGACCCAGTAGGTTCCAGTCCTAGTAGGTCCCAGACCTAGCAAGTCCCTGACCTACTGGGTCCACCCAGTCCCAATAGTCCTCGTTCCTAATAGGCCCATTCCGTATATATTTATTTCCCAGTCCAATTAGTTCCTAGTCCTAATTGGTCCCAGTCTTAAGTGACCTTAATCCCAGCTAGCTCAGTTACTATTGTTCCACAGTCCTTATAGTTGCTCAGGTCACCGAGCACAACACGTGGAGTATACATGACCTGCGCATCGCCTATAAGTACATTAAACTGGAAAAAAAGAGATTGTAATAATAGTAATAATTAATAATAATAATAATAATAATAATGATAACAGTAATCATATTAATAATAGTAATAGTAATCATTATGATTACATTAACTAATAAATAAGATTGTGATAAATAATTTTAATAATATTAATGCTATGAAAATTTTAATAATAATAATATTAATAATAATAATAATAATAATAATAATAATAATAATAATAATAATAAAGGTATTCACAGTAACAAAAGATGGAAATAGCAATTAAAGAACTTGACCAATGTAACACCAACTATTGACCACGATCTAAGACATGTTCACTGGTGTCATCTTGTTTCACACACTTTAATGTCACCAACTCAACAACCAAAAAAATAAGTAAAATTTTTTTATCTTTTTTCATTTGTTCATTAATTTCAATCCAAAGTGAATGCAGTGCTAAACTTGGTGTGAACTGACGCTACCTGCAGGTGTAATTGGTTGATGGATCATTAGCTGCTGCTGTTCCCCCCAACCCCCCACACATCCGCTATCCCTATACTATCCACTTTCACTCAGATTTTTGTGGATATTTGACCCCACCACCCCCCTACGTTCACTCTGTTCCCAATTTTTTATCGAGTTTCACATTTTTGTATTTTATCTTAATCAAGCTTCCCTATTTTTGTCACCTTTATTAATCCCTGTAAATTTTTGTCTCACCTGTTGTGAAGCTCCCTGTTTTTTATCTGGACCTTAATCAAACCCCCTATTTTGTCTTACCTGTCCGGTATTTTACATTTTGTGGCATTTTTACTTTGAAAAGTTAGCATTTGCGAATGAGACAATGTTTTCCAAATCCCATATTTTTTTCTGTTATTTTGGATAATTAGTCCGTGATTTTCTGAACTTGGAATACAGACATTTTACCCTCGCAGTTTGACCTCTGCATACACAGAGATTACCCAAGAAAATTGCACACCAAAAGTACTCGTGAAATCTCTTTTTTGGATTTGTTTTTCTTTATACATATTTTTGTATTTTTGGGTGAATCTCGTGTCCCACACCAAAACTCACAAAGAGCTGCTATATCCTCTTCTCCGCGTCACTACCACCACGTTACAGAAACTTGGCAATTTGATGTAGTTTTTTACTGACTATGAAGTCGATTTTTCGAGGAGTCAGAGACTTAAGCTGTCTTGTAATGACACTCCTAGTCGGTAGTTCAACATTTGATGAGTATTGTGTCGATGATGCTAATGAGGGAGGTTGACATGCAGAACCACATTCCCTCTTCTCTCTAGTAATCGCACATGTCTTCATTTGTCTAACATTAAGCAAACCTGAAGTTGAAGCCAAAAAAATAAAAATAATGTAACATAATTGTGCAGTGAAACAGCGCCTGAAGAAGGACTACAACAGGGTTCCTCTCGTCATTTCAGAGGACAGGAAACTGTTCGTGGGCATGCTAAGTAAACAACAGACAGAAGAGGATGTACGGCAGCTCTTCCAACCCTACGGGAACATTGAGGAATGCACCATACTGAGGGGGCCGGATGGCGCCAGTAAAGGTAGGATTCAGGATGGGCCACCCAGGAGCATGCGGGGCAACGAGGACCAGGAGGAGGAGGAGGGGCAGGAGAGCCAGACTGGCAGAAAGGAGGAACTGGTACAGGGGAAGAGAGAGACATTTGGATGATGGGGCAAATTTTATGACAAAGGATAAATATTGTGAAGAAAAAAAATTGTAGAGTGGGGAAGTTAAGAATGAGAAGAAACCACAACCATCCATTTGGGACTGTGAAGAAGGATGGTGGAGAGGAGAGGGATGGTGAGGGACGGAGGGAGGAGGGGAGGTTGTCGAGAGGCCCTTGACAACCTTGGCCGCACTGTTCATGTCTGCTTTTGCATGCTACCCTAGTTGGCCCTGCTTGTTGCCCCCCACTGTTCCTAGTACACGAGTGAGGGTGGTGGCGGCCCAGCTGCCCCACCACCCCCTGCAACACTTGTCAAGCTCACTGTTTACTACAAGTGTCTCTTGACTGTATTACTACTAGCATGTGCAAAGGTCAAAATTCATGTCCCTGTATTGATATAGATTTTCAGAGTTTCCAGGAATTATGACAGGACTACCAAAGGCTTCGACAGCTGCCTGTACACAGGAACAAGTTGGGTGTAAACTAAGTCACTATTTAATATTTTCTCTATTATAAACATACTATATATGTACATTTGCCATGTTAATAATACTATGTATATCCATGTATATATCAGTTTACTACGCCTTTAAAATACATATGTATATTGGATCCATTGACAATACTATTAACATGTACCACTTTCCTTATTAACATTTCCCATGTTGGTATTGCATAACAGGAAGTTCAGGCTACTAAAATTTTGCCAACTTTTCTGAAAGGAAGAGTTTAAGCTGACTCTTGTTAAGGTATGATGTGAACTGAATTTGATTGTTTGATACAAATGTTTTCAGCTTTTTATTCCAGAACTCAACAGGAAAAATGATGTGACAAACCTTAGCTTGTAGGACTCCCGGGTCTCTCCTTCAGTAGTAAGTGAGGCTGGGGGCGTGTTTATAGTGGTGCGAATATGAGCTTGTTTCTCCCTTATCCCGGACATAAGTTGTTGTCTGAAGTTTCTGAAACGTAGAAATGTTGTTCCAGAAGAGACTAAAAAATGTAAATGTAAAATGTTTTGAGCACACGAGAGAAACGCTGTGACGACAACTGAGAGTCCTATTACCAGGTGTTACACGACTCGGCGCTTGTTATAATTCTTTACAGCCACCACGACTCTTCTCTGCTTATAAAAATCTTACTAGCGTTATTTTTCCTACTGATGATAATCTTAATGTCTGTCGGACCAAGAAAAACTTTGGATTGCTCTTGTGTTTTGTGTGATTTTGAGAATAACACATGGAGGAAAGATGTTGTTTTAAGAGAATAGATTTCTTAAGCTTATCGTAAGGTTTTGCTTTCACTAATTTTTGGAAATAGCAAGAAAACATGGTTGTCTAGGCACTGATTATTGTGTGTTATAACCGTATTTAGAAGAAAAAAAATATTCCTCACTCAAAAACATCCATTAAATGCAGTCAGAAGTACTTGTTATATCAGCAGTGTCGTCCTCACTAATACGGACTTATCGAGGAAGATATAAAAGACAGAGATGTTTGCCACGACGTAAGGCTGAAAGACGCCCGGAGTTAAGTTCCTTAAGATTGTTTTCGAGTCTTTCCAATGTTTTTCCGGTCTCTCATTAAGAATTGTGTACGTTCCTTGTTCTGCTTTTGTTTTCCTGTGCTCAGTCTTTTTCGAAAACTAAACATGATATTTCCTCTGTACCTTGATAATGACGTCATGTATCTACCACATTAACCACTTCACATTTAAGTAAATGTGAACGTTAATTGAAAAAAAAAATCATATAATTTAATATTTACCGGATCTGTACAGTCTCCCCAGTTACAGTTTATGTCCATATGAATTATTAGTCAGGACAAAATATTAATTTAGCTTTCACTTGATCGTGTTTCTCGATACTGTGCCTTGAAACATTGATCCAGTACATGGTCGACTAAGTTTGAAAAATAGTTTACACTCACAAGTTGAGGTATAAACGGAATATTTTAGTAACCTCACCTCCCCCCTCCATCTGAAAGTGTATATTTTATAGATGATGTTGAAAATCTGTCGGACAGTGTTCACCCAGTGGAAGCGATCACTCAGGGACAGGATCAAAATAGCACTGTAACCGACCATTTCTGTTCACTGGTTGTAAATACGCAGCCGCATAGCTCACTCTTACACTAGGCGTCATATAATTACAAGTTGGTGCGCACCTGCAACCCAGCGGACGGTTTTATATGGGCAGTTGTTGAGAGAGGCGATGGACTGCGCAGCACTCATGTTTGGTCCGATTCGCGCCAGGGTTTAGTCTTGAAAAAATCGGGGGAGGTGCGTGGATGGGTGTTGTGACCCAGCTGGCTTCACACCCCCTAGTTCAACAACCATCAAGACCCCTTGTGTTACCTGTAGCTGCTGTATTACTTGTACATAAGAACATAAGTAAATAAGGAGTCTGCAATAGGCCGGTTGGCCTGTGCGTGGCAGCTCCTGTCGAGAGTTACTACCACTCCCTATCATTCATGAATCTATCAAGCCTCCGTTTGAAACTTTCCAGCGTTCCAGCACTTCCTACAAAGTTGCGAAGCTTGTTCCACTCGTCCACCACCCTATTTGTGAACCAGTTCCTATCTCCCTCCTAAACCTAAACTTATCCAACTTAAATCCGTTGCTACGAGTCATATCCTGCTCGGACATTATAAGAACTTTATCTATATCCCCTTTGTTGATTCCTATCACCCACTTAAATACTTCTATCATATCTCCCCTTACTCTTCGTCTTTCTAGGAAATGCAAGTTTAGTTTCTTTAACCCAGGGGTTCTCAACCGGGGGGGGGAATTTCCCCCCCTCAGGTTTTCAGGGGGGGGGGGGGAAACTGATACTAATATGGAAAAAAAAAGGATTTTCAGTATTATATGCATATTATTTGGAATGCACTTTTTGAGGCAGACAATCTTGGAAAGGAGGGGGGAATGACATTCTGACATATGGTGAAAGGGGTGCATGGGGCAAACAAGGTTGAGAACCACTGCTTTAACCTATCTTGATATGGAAGGTTTCTAAGTCCCGGAATCATTTTCGTCATTCTTCGCTGCACCGACTCCAGTGAATTGATATCCATTCTATAATAAGGGCACAAGAACTGAACCGCATAATCGAGGTGCGGCCTGACTAGCGCAAGATATAGTTGCAGTAAGACCTCTGCACTCTTATTACTTACACTTCTAGATATAAAACCTAATACTCTGTTTGCCTTATTTCGAACATTAACGCACTGTTTTCTAGGCCATAGGTCCGGTCTTACAAGTACCCCTAAGTCTCTTTCACAAGTCGACTTCTCTAGGTTGATGTTGTTAAGGCTGTATACATTGACAGTATTTGTCCTTCCAATATTAAGTACGCTGCACTTGCTGGTGTTGAATTTCATTTGCCATTTTTCTGACCACTCCTGCAGTTTATTTAAATCTTCCTGTAGTGCATTTGCATCCTGCCCTGAATTAATCTGCCGCCCTATTTTGGTGTCATCCGCAAACTTGCTTATGTCGCTGCTGATACCAGCATCTAGATCGTTTATGTAGATTATGAACAAGAGTGGGCCCAGTACTGACCCCTGGGGAACCCCACTGGTTACACAGCTCCACTCAGGTTTAACACCATCTACGCTGACCCTCTGCGTTCTATCGGTGAGCCATGATTTTATCCAATTTAAAACTTTCCCCTCGATACCATGAGCCTTAACTTTTCCCAGAAGCCTCTGATGCGGTACTCTGTCAAATGCTTTGCTAAAGTCTAAGTAAATAACATCGTAATTTTCGTCATTATCTACTACCTCGAAGACTTTCCTAAAAAAAGTCAGCAGATTTGTTAGACAAGATTTTCCCTTTGTAAACCCATGTTGAGAGTCGTAGATTAATTTATTTTTCTCTAAATGCAATCGGATGCTATTTGCTTTAATTGATACAAGAAATTTCCCCTCAACTGACGTCAAACTGATCGGCCGGCAATTTGACGCTGATGCGTCCCTTTTTGAATATGGGTACACTACATTTGCCTGTTTCCACTAGTCTGGCACAACTCCCGTGTCTAATAATTTTGTAAACAAATTTAAGAGGGGTCCACTTATCTGTTCCCTACACTCTTTCATCAGGCCCTGGGGATTTTGTCTTTTGTAGCTGCCATGTGTTACACGTAGCTGCTGCTTGTTACATGTAGCTGCCGCGTAATGATGTTTTAATGTATACACCAACTTTATATACCTGTACAACACTATAACGAATATACAGGGTTTTACTCCATAACAAACACTGTAGAGGGATGTATGACTATGGTATATACACAACTAAGCACCATCGTCGAGGCGTCCGGGTACCAAACCACAGAGAGGCAGAGGCTTCGACCATACAAGATTAGAGTTCACATTATTCATCACGCGTAGAGGTCAAATGGGTTTTAATGAATAGTGAATAAACTTTTGTCCGTTATCTGTACCGGTTCTTTTTAATCAAATGGTCCACCCTTTGTCACCTGGTCCATCCTTCACAGTCACCTGGTCCATCCTTCACAGTCACCTGGTCAACAGCCTTTCAGTCACCTGGTCCATCCTTCACAGTCACCTGGTCCATCCTTCACAGTCACCTGGTCAACAGCCTTTCAGTCACCTGGTCCATCCTTCACAGTCACCTGGTCCATCCTTCACAGTCACCTGGTCAACAGCCTTTCAGTCACCTGGTCCATCCGTCATAATCACTTGGTCTATCCCTTTCACTCACCTGGTCTCCTCCTACCCCTCCCCTTTCCGCTTCTGTTCCTTTGAACCTCCCCTTATCAGACCACCTCGGTGAGTAGGCAGGCAGGTACACGCCTGGGGAGTGTTAGACGTGCTGGGGAGTGTTAGACGTGCTGGGGGAGTGTTAGACGTGCTGGGGGA